AGATCCTAACTAGTATAAAAGAAGGTCTACTGGCCTTCTGAGAGTGAGTTTTACTTTTCCCCTTTCCACGGGTTACAAGTTTTAAGTGAAATAAAAGTCTACTGGCTTTTAGTGAATATTGAGTGGCTGAGAGGTTATAGAGGTCGTAGATCTCAGTTAGTTATTAGAGTGACTGTGAGTATTAAGAGGTTGGCTAGACCTCTTTTAGGTCTACTGGCCTAAGAGTGTGTCAAATTTTATTATATATAAGTACTTTTTACCATGCTACAAATAGATCTCAAAGCAAACAAGGAAATAGATACTACAAATGCGGCTAGTACAACCCCAATTAAAACTTATGCGCAAGCTACAAGCATCATCGATGCACATGCTGCAACAAATAAAAATACAAACGAATATAGTTTGCTTAAAAATACTCTCTTAAGTAAAGTAACAAGTAAACTTAGCCATAACGAAATCTTATTAGATATTGAAGACGCTGGGTACGATAAATACCTCTATGGTTTTCAACAAATTTGTAACTGGTCATTTATTGAACTTGTAATGAAAAACGACAAAGTTAAGAACACAATCCTGGAAAAAGGAATTAATATAAATGGTGAATTACACCACTTTTACCAATCAACCCCTAATAAAAATATCAGTAAAAGGGTAACAATATTCATTTTTAGACTGCCAATAGAAAAGAGTAACTTTCCTGCTGGTAAGCTTTTAGAAGAGCTTGGGTACGTAAAACATATCAGGACTAGACCCATTCTAAAAAGAATACCGAAAAACGGAACGCTCTACTACTCGGGCATAATAGTTGTAATAATGGACAAACTGACTCAACCAATCCCTAGATTCATAAACTTTAAAGGCTATGAAGTTAGGGCTATTTACACCGGACAGGAAGATGTGGGAAAGCCATAAAATAAAAATATAACTAAGAAGAAAAAGGAAGACCAATTAATTAGCAATACCCCCTTAGAAATACCACTTGTAGAAACACAAAAGCTAATTAATATAGCAACAAACAAGGAAAATGAAAACGATAGAGAAACGAAAGAGCAAGTGGAAGTACAAGTAACACAAATATCAAAAAATCCAGTACGGTCCCAAACGACAACTAATCAAGAAACAATCAACGAAAATGAAAATAGTAAAAAAGATGAAAACGATAACGAAGTAGATAAAAGTAACGAAAAAGATAAAGGAGAAAATAAAAACGTTGACGATGATTATAAATATGATGATGATTAGTCAAGTCGTTGAGAGTGAGGAAGAAAGATGAAAGTAGTGAAGAATATTATGAAGAGTTAGAAAAACTTAATACATCGAGCCATATTGAAAGAGTGGACTATAACTGGAAGTTATTTAAAAACTTCGATAGACTAAACTGTAATAAGGAAGAGCTAAAAAATTTAAAAAATTTAAAAAATATGAGTGGATACAATATGACAAAGCTAAACCCTTTTATGAATGGATTGAGAAAAAAGAAAAAAATGAACTACTAAAACCAACGGCATTTCAACAAATGGATTCAGGTGAAATGTATTCATACAAAATGAAAGAATTTAAAAATTTTAATAGAAAAACAGCAGAAAGAAATGAAATTCATAAATACACAGCCTGTAGGAAAGCGGAGTCCGAACAACGTTAAAAAGAATGCACACAGCTTCTTAAGGACTATTAAATAAAGCAAAAAAAAAGAAATCTTAAAAAACAAATCTATAAATCAAAAAGACTTAAACTTACACTACAAGTAGACAGTTAAAATCTAAAACATTTTAAAATAAAAAATAACCAAAAAAATAAAAAAACATAAAAACCCAAAAAAATTATAAACAACCATATGAACTGACAAGAAATCTTAAACAAGAAAAACAAAATGAAACAAAAATATAAAATCTCAAAATAAACAAATAAAAATTATCAAATTAAAAAACCGAAAACACTAGCTAATCCGTGGATGAAAAAATCGCTGTTAAAATGTTCTAAAAAAAAGCAAAAATTGTATAATAAATTCCTTAAAAATAAAAACACTGAAAACGAAAAAAATTACAAAAAATATTAAAACTTTTACCAAGTACTAATTAAAAATGCAAAAAAAAGCTACAGTACGCTAATTTCCAAATACAAGTTTAATAATAGTAAAAAAACATGGTCCAAAATTAATAATATAATCGGTAAAGAAAAAAACATAGCACCTTTACTACCTAAAAGAATTAATATTGATAACACTGATATATACAATGAAAGCTTAATTTCAAAAGAGTTCAACAAGTATTTTACAAATGTTGGCCCAAAGCTTGCCAATAAGATAACACCAACATTTTTATTTTAACCAACATAGTTATTTTAAACAAAACTAGCTTAAGCAAACCTTTATTTCATATACTAAAACTCTCATTAAAGTTTGGTGTTTTCCCTAATGCTCTTAAAATAGCTAAAATAATCCCAATTTACAAAGGCAACGATCATTCGAACATTACAATTTATAGACCTATATCTTTACTTT